TAACTGTTTTAATAACTGAAGTAAAAAAAAATGTGAGAAAACTTGCCTGCATTGAAATACTGTTCTATGCTGGTTGTACTCAAGTGTTATTTTTTAATGGTGAGAAGAATTTTTTTTTCTTTTTTTGCCTTTTTTTTCTTTTGTTTTTCTTTTCCTCATTTTTGTTCCTACATTTTAGGCTGTCTTCAGAAGTTACTGGCCTGGGGGCTCTGTAATGTATCTCATCATGTTCTAGTGCATTAGCCACCAGACAGGACTTTTCCAAAGCCCCATGAGACAATGATTTCTATGGACTAATCTACAGAGGAATTTCTGCCATTTCTAACTTTCTTATAATTCTGAGACATCAACATAAATACTTCTTTTACTCTTTAAGCAACTGTGCTTCCTAACCCTTGTGTTGCTTTCATTACTGTTCCAGTTTTAACACTGTTGTGGCTCATAACATAAAGCAAAAAAAATTTTTTGGTTAATTTTTGTTGATGTTCATGCTTTAGCTAGTCTGTATAAAAGCATGGGCTGTTAGTGTTCAGAACCAACTGTATTCAGCTATAGACTTGACAGTAAATTAAATGAGACATTTTTATAAATAAATTTTTTTCCTGATTTAAAACCACGTGGTAGCTTTGTGCATACGGCTGTTGTGTTGTTCGAAACTTGTTCTTTGTAACCAAGCTGATACTGTCTCAGAAGAACCACTAATTTATGGATTGTCAAAGGTCCTAGACAAATGGCTTGTTTTCATTAAAGGTTTAATGGCATGACACCAAAGGTCCTAGTGCTCATTGGCAAATAGTGTAACAGTGTTCCCTACACAATGCAGAGGAGGGTTAGCTGCCTCAGATCCAGCAAATACAGCCTGCCGAGTAGGGAGCCATCTAACCTTGTCCATAGGAAAAGCTGGAAAGAGAGATGTGTCTGAAGGCCTCTCTCTCTCGCCCAAGCTTAGATAGGTAGCTCTTGGAAGGCTTACGTCTACTTGGGAGGCACAACTCAGGAAGTAAGGTACCCAAGTAGCTTCTTTCTGAGAGCAGGGGTCATTCATGTCTTTCAGAGCACAGCAGAATGTGGTGCTGCTTGTGTCCCCTTTTCAAATAAAAGTCTAGTGGTTAGAGCCCTCAGGAGGCAGGAAACGGGGATTCAGTTCTCTCCTCTGCTTGGGGGCTTCATACTTGCATCATCTACTTCCCAGCAGAGGTTCATAACCACCAGACTAGAAGACCACGGCCACTCTTTCACCTATTCTCTGTCTTTCCCATTGAATCCTAATGTCTTTTCTGAACCATTGAACCCCTTCAACAGGAAGAGACTAGTGTACCATGATGCTGGGGTACCTAGGGCAGCACTGTGAGAGATAAGAGATAGGGCTTGAAGCCCCTTCAGACAAAGCAGGAAGTCCACAGAAAGTGGCTATTATGCTTCCCTGTGGCTACATGCAGAGCCTGATCCTGCAGATGTGCGTAGACACAGGCAGAACATGCCTACTGCCTCAACCCTGAGGTCATGGGCGACTGGTACCTCCCAAGTCTGGGGGCATCGCCAACAGGGTGGGGGGGGCAGAGGCTGATCGCCAAGTCAGCAACAAAACTGGAAGTGCACTTCTGGTTTCGTGGCTGGTGCTTCCAGGGGGTGCACGTGGACCCACGTGCACCCCCTATGCATCGCCAATAGGTGAGGTAGCTGTAAGAGTTTCAGGTTCCTCACTGGGCTTAAGCAACATAAGCTGCTCAGCCCTGGCAAGACTGAGGCATCTCTGGGCGGGGGCAGGGGCAGTCCAAGGGAAAAGGGTAGGAGTCACGATTCTAGCGATCTTTCCTCTGAGAAAGAGGTCTTTCAGAGGTCTTTCTCCCCTTACTGAACCAAAGGTCTTAAACCAAGGTGGAGCTGTAGCTGGCCAGGGCTGTTATTTAAAATAACGTTTATGTAATTTTGTTCTGCATATAATTTTGGTGTCCCCCCCCAAAAAATTTGGCACCCTAGGCAACTGCCTGGTTTGCCTAATGGTTGGACTGGCCCTGGGCAGGGACAGCAGCAGAAGGTTATGCATGCACTCAGGAAACTACTGAAGAAAAAAGAGGTGCCCACAGATTTTAGGCACCACTGCAGAAGGAGGTGAGCTAGTAGGTAAGGGTTTTGTGGACTTCGGCACTTTGAGGTTCCCACTTTGAGGTGCCCAAGCCTTTTTATGGAACCTAACCCTAAAGAAAAAGAAAAAGCAGGTGCTTCCACACACAAAATATCCTCACTATCCACACAAAAGACCTGAGCTGTGTCTGCCACAATTTGAACCTTGCAGCTCCAGAAATAGTCAGGCATTTCTAATCTGAGACAGCCCAGAAAGCTTGTCCCCACCAGACAAAAATAATTCCTCATTCCTCACCTATTTCAGTGCATCTAAATACCGGGGAGGTCTCTGAACAATGAGAGCTTTTTAATGCCCCACTTTAAGTCTTGAAGAGTCTAAAGCCAATAAAACATGTGCAAACAGGTCTGTTCCTTACTAGTAATTTTCTTGTTTGGGACCACAGATTATAATAAATGCTAATATAAGCAGATAAGGTTATTTGACCAATCATAGCTGCCTTTTTAATATGAATTCACCCTTCCTGATTTTCAACATACCACCCAGGTACCAGTTGCTCTAGAAAAATAAAGATAAGGTGCCTCACAAAGCCTTTCATCATTTTTGTCATCTGTGTCTTTTAAATATAATCTTTTTGTTTGAGAGCTTCTGCTGAAAAGGTGCATGCACTCCTTTTTTTCCCCCTTCTTCTGTTGAGAAAGTTCAAACCACTCACATCTGAACAGATTCCTCTTTGTGAGCAGGTCACCCCTCCTTCGGCCTTAAAATCAAGCCTTTGCATTCGTTTGTGCTTCTGTCTCGAGGGAACTTTTGACTCTCCTGATTTATAAGTGCTTCTTTTATTCAATTATTTTTGCATCTCTGCCGTTGTCTATAGCTCACTCCTTATTTTTCCTCCTCCCCCACTTGCCTGACAGCAGTCAGCTCTATGGCTCCTCTTTCCTAGAGCATAAATTCTTTGGACCAGGAACCAAATCTTCACGTTTTTGTTTGTCCTGAAAACACTGCACACTTCTTTGTGCCAGAATCCAAAGAAGACTGGCTAATCGATATGCCCCTCTCTACCCAACCATCTCTGTTATGGTACCACCCGGACTCCAACTCTGCTGAAATGCTTGTTCAAGCCTTTGTTGTCCCCCTTGCTGATAATTGCAACCAATTCCTCTAAGGCATTGCCCAGGTCCCAGCTCTTCATGCTGTGTAGTGCTGCAGCTCAGTTTCTCACACGTACGAGAAAAATCACCCACACCATGCTCTGCCCACTTCTGCTAATTTTCTATTAAAAAATGTAACATTTCCCTGCCTTTCAAGTATCTAAATTCTCTGTCTCCTCACTTCCAACTCCTGCTACTGTCTTAACGCGTATCCCAGCAAACCAAGTTTGACAGTTCCTTCACCTTCTCCAAACTTCTTACCACTTTGTCAAAATCTTCAAATTTCAGCCACAATTTTCTGAAAGGATCCTTTCTCCCTTTGTCATGCTGCATCATTGTCCTCTTCCCTCTCTGCTATGATATTTGAGCCTGAAATCATACTAGGGAATTTGGTAAGAAACTTTGGGGACAGGTTGCATGAAGAATGTCATATAAAATAGAACTACCCGTGACTTTTGCCTAGTAACATGACTGTGCACTCAACATTGGGCTTCTGCGATACATATTTACAGTTCACTAAAACCATGCCGGATATCAGGAGAAGTTTCCTATGATACTTGGAAAAACAAAGACTCTAAAGTTACTTCCATCAAAATAATAGCCATCACTTTACTTCCTAAAAGATTACATTATTTAAAATATTGTCATATTCTTTCATATGCACCTGATATCAGGGACTTCAAACACGTCAGCCGTTCATAAGGGATGTATCCACTAAGGCAGCACTGTGAACCCTGTCGAACTATGAAGAACGAAAGATACAGTCCCGTAGCTTTGTCCCTGAATAGCTCTTTTGATTTCCGGGAGGTCACGTACCTCAGGGGGTAGGAAGGTTGTAGGATTGGATTCTCATCTGACTCATGCAATGCAAAAACACATCACCACACAGGCTCCAAACATCCTACAGGAGCAGTGGCCAAGACAGGTGCCAAGCTAGGCTGTGCTGCCCAGAGCACCACTCTACATCAGTATGAAGGAAAAGCATGAAAGAAGCTGGAAGTCAGGCCAAAGTCAGGAAATGGAGTCAAGCAGTAAATGCAGGAGTCAGGGACTGGGATAGAAGTGCATAGATTTCATAGACATTTGGGCTGGAAGAGACCTTGGAAGATCAAGTCCAGCCCCCTGCCCCAGGGGTAGGGAGTTAGCTGGGGGTCAAAGGATCCCAGCAAGATAGGTTGCTGACAAGATAAATGCCAAGACAACAGCAAGAGCTTAGGGCCAGGCAGCACAGAAAACAAGGCTAGAACAGGGAAGTGGGGAACAGGACAGTTGCCAACGGACAAGATATGTAAGCAGTCAGAGACAAGGAGGAGATACAAGCCATGGACTACTGACCGGCACAAATCCTTCTGAGGGTGCTGGAAATATACCTGGAGGCCTGCCTTCCTAAAGCCAGGAGGATAACTAGGCACAACTGGACCACATCAGGCAGTTCCAGCAGGCCTTGAGCTAAATTTCATCTAAGCCCCAAGTAGGAAACGAGGTTGATTTGGATCTGACCCAGAGTCCCCACGACTGACAAAGCAGGCATTGTCCTGCAGAGCCCAATACACTAAGCTCTTCAGGAGAAGGCAGAGGGGGAATAGTATAGTAGTATAAAGGTCTCTAAAAATCAAAGTGTGGATAACAGGGAGCTCCTATTTACCAAGTCTTAGAAAACAAGAACTGAGGGGCACCCACTGATATTAACAGCAGGTCCATTAACAGATACTAAATTGAGCAATCAGGGATATATCCCTTCACATCCTTAAACCAACACCTATAAATGCTAAGGATGATGTGACAGGATGAATCACTCTAAATGTGCCCTGTTCATATACTATCCCACAATAGCATCTACTACTGCCGCTTTCAGAGACAGGATACTAAACTAGATGGGTCAGGTCTGACCTGGTATGGCACTTACGTTCTTAACTACTACCAGTACCCAGGCTTTAAGGCAGCAGACTTTAAAGATCATGTTCACTACTGCAGAGAATCCTTTGTTAACATAGCAATGTTCTTGTTAGTGAGTAGAGTGCAGACTGGCTTAGGGACCACCCTTTTTTTGCATGCATTTTTACTCCCTGGATCAACTGTCCTATTCCACCCCCGCTCGCTGCTACCCTTAATCAGCTCTCTAGGTCTAACCGATTATAAATAAATGCTGAAGAGGATTTGCACATATTGTTGTTTTCCCCTTCGTTTATTTCCTTTAGGCTAGGAACTGACCTTGCCTTTGTCTCAGGACAAGCTGTGCCTGTGTTTGTTCCAGAACAGAAAATTCCTGGGATTGGTGTACATACATCCCCCTTGAAAAATCAGGGTTTAGCAAGTGGTTGAATGCACTGCCTCTTTTCTGCCATTGATTCAGTGATGCAATCCTAGGACAACCATTTAGATGCACTTTATGACGTCCCAGAACAAACTGCTAGCAATTCTTATCCCCCAAACCTTTTCAGATCCGTCTTAGGACAAACATGTCCGTCTGTAGCTGCAGTGTAGCCTGATCTGTAGACAAAGATCTGAAATGGTCTTCTGAATGTCACTGGCCAAATAGAGCACCTCTTCATTTCTGATTTGGTTAGACAGGACTAGCTCCTGCAACTCCTTCAGTTGCAAACCAACTCTTTTTACTTAAAACCAGAAAACCCAATTTTAAAAAAAAAAAGCCTTAGAAACTCTGTATTCCTCCTTTTGATTAATCATAATCTGGAAATTTACCATTCACTGCACATAGCAGCATGCATGATAGAAACTACATATAAAATGCTATTCCCTAAATCTGAAATCTCACCAGAACTGTTATCTTCCCAGACACGTTGGACAATGTTCATGAATAATTCCAGTGCTTGATAAATCAAAACCATTATCTTCTCCCAGCAGTCCTCAAGGATGCTCTGATAGAAGGATCTTTTAAAAAACAGATTGGACTTTTGCTTTTTTGTCTCACTAGCAGTTAAACATGAAGGGGATACAGGATACAGCCAGCAATGGTACCACTGCTACCTTTATCACAAAGCTCTCTAAAAGTTATGCCTGGAAACTGTAAAATGGTTTACATACTCTCTCCCATTATCACACTTTTCATTTAAAGTTGTATCATATGAGACCATTGCTTCCATGATCAATAGACCTTCTAATATATTACCTTCAACAAGTTTTCATATTTAACTATACCACAATTGGTAAGAATCAATGCTGTCAAAACCAGAAGCTGTTTATCCTTAATAATATACATGAGCCACTAACTTTCTCCTTTGTTAAAGAAAAAAGACAAATTCATGCTATGGAGCACAGAGACACCAGGAATTGCCTAGTAACCAAACACTTCCTTCACTGCCCCCCCCCAATAATTCATAATATCCTGTGTTTAAGGGTAAAAAATTATTGTTTTGACAATTAAAAAGGATGCTGAATAGAATTTAAAACTGTCTGTATGAAATCGTGTTCTTTGATGCTAAAAGTGAATGTCTCACACCCCATTAAGCATCAGCAAAGAACAAGGCAACAGATTTTGTCAGCTTTACTGTTTTTAATACTCAGCTCCCCTCTCACTCTCCTTATGTAGGCAAAGATATTCATAGGCACACACTTAAAATGAAGATAACCAGGACCCATAAAGTTATAAGATATACAAAACCATTTTAGTATTATTAACATTATTAAAATGTATGATGCTCATTACAATCTGTATTCGGAATCAGCTATGGCATTGAGGGTCTGTCACTGAACTGGGCTTCATCAATTCCACACAAAGACAAGTGAACCTACTAAACCCAATGCAGGAAACCACACTGCAGACAGCCAGAACCTGGTGGCATCAGCTCCAACCTCTTTCTGCTGAGTACTAAGCTTGCTAGAAATGCTAAATGAGAAGTCAGTGGAAGAATTCTTGGGGACTAGAAGGCAGAAGAAAATAAGTAGAACAATTAGTTTTTGCCCAAATTGCAACATTGCTAGTTATGAAATAAATATCCTCCCAACTCCACCCTGCTAACTCAGAAGGGAGATACCTCATTTTTAATCATTAATTGCAGTGTAGTACATCTTTGCTAACACCAAAATTCAAAGTGTAATGTTAGAAGCTACTAACTGGGATTACCATTGTTATTCTTTGCCCTCTTAATATTCTACAGTAATTTGCCAAGCTGCTTGTTAACTGTACTGACACTTAAGCCACAGACGCAGGGAAACCACCGTTAGCAGATTTCTGAAAAAACCTAGTGCTTATTTGGACAATACAAGATCATTATAGTTGCAAAACTATGCTTGAATTTGGCTGAACTGGGTTTTATATTTATTTTAAAAAACTGACAAGTCTCACAGGCACAATCCAGGAGATGGGGTGAGACTCCACTGCTCTAAGAAGTTTGAATTTTACTTTCCAGCTGTACAGTAAGTGTATAGATGGAATGCTGGGAACAGGAACTACCAGAGATCCAGTACCAATTCAAAGAGTTCAGGCCTCAATTCCCAAGCAAAATATTCCTTGCAAAAAGAGACAATTCATGTTCTTTGCAAAACAGAAGTAATGCTACTGAACAGCAGGGTTTTATTTTTCCCTTTTAAATAACATAGTCTCTAGCTCAGGCTATCTTAAATCATGTGCGTGGCAAAAAACTACTCCCACCTTGATTCTCTACCCCCCTTCAAACCAAGTTGCATGTTATATGTACATCTCATAAAAACTTAACTGAATAAAATGATTTCCCAGAATTCTGTTTTTTTGGGCCCCTACACATGTGCAGGGAGCCTGCTCTGAGGCACTGGAAATCCAGTGCGCCAGAACAGACTTGATCAAGTCTGCTGGAGTGTGGGAATTAATGCACCCCAGCAGACTCTAGTGTCACATGTATCAGTATCCCACACTGTGAAAAGGGGCAGCGGAAACTTTGAACTAAAGCTTGCTCGATAAGCTTTAGTTTAAAAGCACCCCACTGCCATTTTTCAGCACAGGGACACTGATACACCTGATGCTCCGGCGCTTAATTAGTGTGGCTTACTAATTAAAGCACCCCCCCCCCACCCCATACCTCCTGGAACATGTGTAAAAATGCCCTTTGAGACTAACTCAGAATATACCTACTTTTGTGGGAGTCCTTGGTTAGCTCAGTAAATCTGAGGTTTTTAAGGACTTGGAAGCTCCAAATTACATATTTGAAAACAGTGGCTCTTAGTTTAGCCAGTACTCACTGAAATAGTTTCCTACTTCCCTTTTACTCAAGAAACAATGAATATCCAGTTCATTACTTTATCCCATATGTTGTTTCTTGAGTTGAAAAAAAAACTAATTTCAACCATTTCTCTGCTGGATAGAATGGAGAAGGGATTACACAAAGCAGCGCATGGATTCTTTCTGGAATCTGCTGGATTTTTAGGTCATTTGCACATGCAACAGAGCAGCTGTGAGAGATTGTGCGCTGGAAGATCATGTATGCACAGGTAGCTACTGCAGCTTCTAAAAGGACAGGATTGCAACAAGAGCTTTTTGTTTTTCACAATATGCAATCCACCACTGTTTTGGTTAGCACTGAATTATAGTCCAGGCTGGCCCTAAACTCCAGCATCCTATAAATTTATGTTATACTCCCAGAATGGCCTGCTGACTATAAAATTACTTCCTTGTTAAAATAATTTCAGTAGGATATTATAGTAAGAATTTTAATAGGAAAGTTACATTCAGCCTCAGAAAACATTTACAATATACAATTTTTACATCAATAGTACATTTTAAATCTACAAAAGATAAAGACAGACTTTTTTGCAGTTGACTTTTCAGCATCTCTGATGATTTGTTTTAAAATAAATATTTTAACAAATGTTTGCTTCTGGTAAAGTAATACTACAAATCAACAGTAGATTGACCAGGTCACTGAAATGCTACAACAAAGTCCCTTTCACCCTCCAATCCTGAGACAACAAATCTTGCAATTCTTCTTCATCTTCACTACCAATATCCTCATCCTCTTTCTGCTGGATTGCTCTTAATCTCATGGCCTCTTTAACTTTCTCCTTCATCATATCCTGACGGTCACGCAACTGTTCAACACGACGATAGCATTCACTACGAAAAGGTAAAATTATTTAGTTAACCTTTATGGCCTGCTCACATGCTGAAGCAGAAGAATGAAGAGGGGGAGTGGCTAGTCACAGCTTCTCTTACAGAAAAATCAAAGCTAGTAACAGATCAAACAGCAGATTAAATGGATCTCTCTCAATCCTATGACAATTTGATTAAAACAAGATACAGAATCCTTTTGTCAAGACAGAAGGAAAAAGCTCAAACCACATTCTTTTCAACTTTTTAGACTTCTGTTTCATTTCAAGGCATCATTCCATTCTGGCAGTTGATATGCAGAGAGGAGACATTTTTCACAGGAGGCAAATCCACTAGCGTGAACATTATGTGCTAAAACAAAACCTCTGAACCTGACTCTCAAAAATGTGTATGCACTTTGAGACATAGCCTCCTAAGCTTTTTTGGACCAATCAGCAAATACCAGCCCTCAAAATTTCTCAGAACCACCGTGCACCCATCTCAAACTGGACAGAGCACACCATAAAAGTGCACAGGCCCTATTATGTTCCATGAACAACTAACCATGGCCTTGTGTACAGTACTATCAGAGGTCTGCTGACCAGCTTGGGGCCCTCTTCTTTAAAATACATTTCTATTTTGCAATCACCATACAAGTTACATTAATTCTTACACAGGACTGATTCTGTTCAACAGCAACACCAAATCATCGCTGAGTTGGGGTTTTTTTTGGTTTTTTTTTTG